CCCTTAACCAAGACACTTGCCCCGGGGGGGGGGGGGGGGGCGGACGGCGGATGGAAGACACTCGAGAGGTGTGTGTGTGTGTGTGTGTGTGTGGAAGAACAGTACCCCCTTACACACGTGCCCCGCCAGCCAAGGCGCCTATCCACCTCCCGTCATCGATCAGGATTGATGCTCCGAACCGTATCGCTCTCCATCTATCCATCCACCCCCCATGTGTAGAATCCGGCCAGTTCAAGCACCAAGACAACAAGTCCACGTTTACAGCGCCTCGATGCCGAACTTGCCGGCCATCATCTGCGTCGCCAATACCTGCGGTACGCGACACGAGTCCGGCCACACCAAGCACCGACACCGACGAAGTTAGCATTTAGATTGCCTCCATGTAAAAACCTCTCCGCCGTTCTCGCTGCGTCGCCACGACCTGCGGCACTATATCGGGAAGTTGAACCAGCGTCGACCGTGATGTGTACTTCATGCATTTTTTGGAAGCGCGCAACACGCTGCGGCGGCAGTAAGGGGGAAAAGAGCATGGGGGTGATGGGTGCTCATGACATCTCACGCTACCCCATCCGAACCAACCAACGTGAGTAGAAGGACGGAGGACGGATAGGCGCCCGAGCGAGAGAGGAGGATGGGGCCACGGGTGCATCCTTGATAGCGCCCCATCAAACTTGGAAGAAGCAATCGATGAAAGCAAGGCCAACTTTGTGCCCATTTTCCAAGCCAGCCCATCCACCACACAAAACGATACTACGTACAGCAAGTTCCATTCCAATCCATCCCGTCCCACGCGCACAACTGCAGCAGCAGCAGCAGCAGCAGCAGCACTCTTCACGCGTCCACTCCACCCCAACTCACCGACTTGATCGCCGCGCGCAGCTTGCGGCGGGCGTTGAAGAGCCTGAGCTGCTCCAGGTTAACCCCGAGGTTGTGCTTGAGGAGGTCGGCGTCCTTGCTGAGCAGCCACGGGTGGGTGACCGCCTGGGCGGCGGTGAGTCTCTTTTTTGGGTCCACCGTGAGCAGCCTGCGGATGAGGTCCTGCTCTCGGCGTCGTGTGTGTTCGCGAGCGTGTTCGCGTTCATCGTGAAAAGGTTTTCGCCGGTGGGGGTGGTGGGTGCACCAAGGCACACAGCAACGAGACGAAGGACGGCGGGGCGAGGAAAAAGAGTTGGGGGGGGGGGTGTACTCATGTAAACGCATGGCGAAGTCGTTAGGCCGTTGACCTCTAGCATTCCTGCAACGCCGTTTTTTTTTCGCCGGTCCAGGCTAACGAGGAGTGGGTTTGCTAGTCGGTGCCTACCGCCGTGGGTTTGCTTGGCCAGCGCGCATCCCCCTGCGAGACGCAGCCCTAATCACGGGCGAGGAGCGACCATCCTACATCCTCACAGCCCCCTTACTACCGCTCGCAGAGAATCGAAAAACGCAGCCAGCCGAAACGTCTTGGGCGCTCTCGATGCTTCAGAGATAAATAGCTGGAACACCTGCCAGGCTGAGGACGGGGACTCAAAAGCACGACCGACGGCGGTAGTACAACCAAACCCGCAACAACAACAACAAGCAACCAACCGACCGACCTTGGCTTCGTTAGAGATGGATTGCCAGTACTCCGGGTGGAACTTGAAGTTGCCGGCCTTGATTTTCCGGAAGAGCCTCGTCTGGTTCTCGTCGTGGAAGGGAGGGTAGCCGCCCAGGAGGATGTAGACGATCACGCCGATGCTCCACATGTCCACGGACTGGTGGTTCATTCGTTCGTTCGTTCGGTGCCCGTGAGAGCCGTCGGGTGTTGGTTGGACGGATTGTTGGGGCCGAGCAAAAAAAGCCAAGGTAGATAAAGGAACATCAAGAGAGGCGAGGTTGATAACCGGATCGTTGTGCAAAAAAAAGACCGCTGTATTGCGATGATTCCGCCGCAAAGAACGGTAGGTGAAAAGCAGTACCGGCGTGTCGGTTGGTCGGTTTCTTGCGGGTGAAACACGTTTGTGTGGTCAAAAGGTTATCTCACCCAAAAGTACAGTGGCCCCGCACATCATGTCTAAACCTAGTACACCAAACACTACCATTAGTGGATGGTATTCTAACAATTATGAAAAAAAACAGGCACAAGAAAAAAAAAAAAAACTCACAGTGCCGTACGACTCCGCCCGGAGGATCTCGGGAGCCACGTAGCCGGGGGTCCCGCACTGCGTCGACACGAAGCCGCCCATGATGCTGCGGGCGAAGCCGAAGTCGGCGAGCTTGACGTTGGCGTCGTCGTGCTGGGAGGTGAGCAGCAGGTTCTCGGGCTTGAGGTCACGGTGGACGATGCC